AAACTTTCAACCTATTTATATTGAAAGTGTGTTTTTTGCAGGCATCACTTATTTTGGTCTTGTTATTTCATCCAGTCTGTCAATTGCTGACTTCTGATTGGAATAATTAGACCCTTTTCATTTAATGCAACTATTGGTAAGTTATACTATTTTGTTATAGAGTATTTTTTTTAGTAATTCATTTCATTTCTTCTATTGGCTTCTATTCATTCTCTCCCTCTCCCACCCCTCCTCTCTCCAGACATACTACAGTCTACCTTCAAATATGATTTTACTGGTACACATATAATATGAGAATCTTGCAAGAATCCACTCCTATTTCCTTTCTCTTGTCTTTGTGCTGGCTTTGCCATATAGAACTTCTACATGTGTTAAAACCTGACAATTCATTGCTATTTATTTTTGCTTTAAAGTCAACTATACATGGGGTGCCTGGGTGGCTTAGTCGGTTAAGCGTCCAACTTTCGCTTAGGTCATGATCTCACGGTTCGTGGGTTCGAGCCCCGCGTCGGGCTCTGTGCTGACTGCCAGCTCAGAGCCTGGAGCCTGTTTCAGAGTCTGTGTCTCCCTCTCTCTCTGGCCCTCCCCTGCTCACACTGTCTTTCTCTCTCTCTCAGAAATAAAAAAATAAATAAATAAATAAAAATAAAAGTAAATAAAGTCAACTATACTTTAATAAAATACTATACATGGGGTGCCTGGGTGGCTTAGTCGGTTAAGCGTCCGACTTTCGCTTAGGTCATGATCTCGCGGTTCGTGGGTTCGAGCCCCGCGTCGGGCTCTGTGCTGACTGCCAGCTCAGAGCCTGGAGCCTGTTTCAGTCTGTGACTCCCTCTCTCTCTGACCCTCCCCTGCTCATGCTGTCTTTCTCTCTCTCTCCTAGAAATAAATAAAACATAAAAAAAAAAAAATCAATTTAAAAAAAAAATTAAAAACAGTAAAAAATTCTTACTCATATTTCCCATTTTTGGCATTCTTTATTTCCATTTGGTATCAGTTTCTTTCAGTTTGTAGCTTTTCCTTTTATTTTTCTTTAATACGTATTTTTTAAGTAATCTCTATACCCAGTGTGGGGCTTGAACTTACAACCCCAAGATCAAAGTTGCACACTCCACCAACTGAGCCAGCCAGGCACCCCACGTAGCTTCTTCCTTTAATATTTCTTGCAGTGAAGGTCTGGTGGTAATAAATGATCTCAGCCTTGTTTGTCTGAAAAAGTTTTGTTTTGTCTTCCCTTTGGAGGAGAACTTTCTCTGGATACAGAATTCTAAGTTGATAGGTTTTTTTGGTCCTTTCAGCAATTTAAACATGTCATTAAATCATCTTCTGGTTTTCATTGTTTTGTTTTGTTTTTTAATGTTTAATTTATTTTTGAAAGAGAGATAGAGACAGCTTGAGCAGGGGAGGGTCAGAGAGGGAGGGAGGAGACACAGAATCCGAAGACAGGCTCCAGGCTCCGAGCTGTCAGCACAGAGCCCGACACGGGGCTCAAACCCATGAACCATGAGATCATGACCTGAGCCAAAGTTGGACGCTCAACCGACTGAACCACCCAGCCGCCCCCATAATACTTATTTTTAAATCTCTGCTAATTCCACCATCTCTCACATGTCTTGGTCTCTTCGTATTGACTGATTTTTCTTCTAGTTATGGGTCACATTTTCTGCTCACACATGTCTCATAATTTTTCATCAAATGCTCGATGTTGTAAAGTCAAATTGTTGAATCTCTGGTTTTTATTGTCTTTTTTTTTTAAAAGAATGTTGAAGTTTGGGGGGAGAAAGAATGTTGAAGCTTGTTTTAACAAGAAATCAACTTACTTGCAAGGCAGTTTGATCTTTTTTGAGGCTTATTTATTCATTTACTTAAAAATTTTTTAACGCTTAATCATTTTTGAGAGAGTGTGAGTGGTGGAGGGGCAGAGAGAGAGGGAGACACGGAATCTGAAACAGGCTCCAGGCTCTGAGCTGGCTGTCAGCACAGATCCGGAAGCAGGCTCAAATTCACAAGTTGTGAGATCATGACCTGAGGCAAAGTCGGACTCCTAACCGACTGAGACACCCAGGGACCTCTATTCATTTTTTTAAAAGATTTTGTTTTTTTAAAGATTTTTATTTGTAAGCAATCTCTGCACCCAATGTGGGGCTCAAATTCACAACCCTGACATCAAGAGTCACATGCTCTACTGACTGAGCCAGTCAGGAGCCCACCCCCCCCTTTTTTTTTTTAAATTTTTTTAACGTTTATTTATTTATTTATTTATTTATTTATTTATTTATTCTAGGAGAGAGAGACAGCGTGAACAGGGGAGGGTTAGAGACAGAGCGAGACACAGACTCTGAAATAGGCTCCAGGCTCTGAGCTGGTAGTCAGCACAGAGCCTGACGCGGGGCTCGAACCCACGAACCGCGAGATCATGACCTAAGCAAAAGTCGGACGCTTAACCGACTAAGCCACCCAGGCGCCCCAACGTTTACTTATTTAGAGACAGAGAGAGACAGAGCACGAGCTGGGGAGGGGCAGAGAGAGAGGGAGACACAGAATCTGAAACAGGTTCCAGGCTCTGAGCTGTCAGCACAGAGCCTGATGCGGGGCTTGAACCCAAAGACTGTGAGATCATGACCTGAGCTGAAGTCGGACGCTTAACCAACTGAGCCACCGAGGCGACCAGAAGCCACTTTAAAGCTTTGTTAGAGCAAGCCTGGATTAGCCTCTTACCCTGGGATAGGTCAGCCCTGCTCCTCACGTGGCGATTATGAAATCTCCAGGAAATGCCTGGATGCTTAATGAGGTCTGCTGGGAACCCAAACGTCTCTCTGTCCCAGGTGAGCTCTGGGAATTGTGCGGCTCTACAGATCTCCAGGAGCTGTTCTTCGCTGAGTCTCATGGGACTTCCTTGTACACAAGCACAGTTTAAAATTCACCAAAACCTTAAGGGAACCTCTGTGTAGATTTCTGGAGCTTGTTCTCTGCGTAGCTGCTTCCACCGAGGCCCCGGCCCTGCTAAGTCCACCCGCGGCAGCCTCTCCAAACTCCAGTGTCTGTGTCTCAACTCACGAGACTTGCGTGTTCTGGGTCTCTGTCCGGAGTGTGCTCCGGGCAGAAAGGCGAGATCACTGTGCGGCTCACATCCCTGTTTTCTTCTCTTAGGGATGGCGGTCCTGCGCCGTCTATCGCCGAATGTCTTTAAAAAGCTGCTACGTCGTTTTTTTCTTTCCAGTGTCCTAGTTGCTTATGACAGGAGAACAAATCCGATGCCAGTTACCCCCTGATGGCTGGAAACAAGTCCCTTCTATACTTTGTATTGTGCATATTAACATATTTCTACACGTAAACGATATACTCTTCCACGATCTGATTTTCCTTTTATCAACATGAGAGGGACACCTCTCCCTGTCACTGTGTTTAGATACACCTTCTTCATGGCCGGGTGGTATTCTGCTGCGGAAATTTACTGCCAGGTAACTAACTGCTTCTCGCTGATGGCTACCAATATGGCTTTAAGTTTCTTGCTATTGTACACGACGTGGTGATGGGAATTCTTATTGCTGCATCTTTGTGAACTTGCCGGGGAGTGTCCGCCGCTTCCAACCTCTCAGCCCACCGACCTTGAGATTTCTCAGAGAGTATTTGCATTTTAAGCCTTTTCCCAATTTTCATGGGGGAAATTTCTATTTAAATGTGAAGGCTCTTTCAAGACTTTCTGCCAAGTAAGGTAAAAAGAGACAGGCCTGGGTAATTGGTTTCTTGCTTTCAATACATAACCCTTCCGCAGACTTTGCCAAGACAACTACGGGTACATCTTGTTCTTTTCACTTGCCATTATGATGTAAGCATTTCCCCAGATCCACTCCTGCTTCTCTCTGGCCCACGGGACCATCCCACTGTTGGGGCTGCTGAGCCCCAGGGTTGTGGGGTGCTTGGCTAATGCCGCCCAGGGCGCCCTGGCTCCTGACTGTTTCGAATCCCTCACATGGTACGAGGCCGAGGGGCCTGTTCTGGCCAAAAGGCCTAAGGGAGGATCTGCTGCAGAGGCTTCTGGGACAGGTTTCTCTTCCCATAAAAGGGGACAGAGGTGACCAGCTGGCCCTGCCTCTTCCTCTTTTCTTTCTATTGCTTTTCTTTCTTTCACTGGGGTGAGGACTGTGAACAATGTTTGAGGCTCCAGCAGCCAGCTTGCAACCCGTGAAGACAAAAGCCCAAACCCACCTGCTACAGGCATCGGAGCGGAAAGTCTAAGAAGCGGGTCCTGGCCGAGGACAGCCCTCACTTCCAGATTTCTGGCTATATGAGCACAATAAACCCCTATGAGTCGAACGTCCTGTGAATTGGGTTCTCTGTTTCCTGCAGCTGAATTCATTCCTACATGCTTCGCCATTCTTACCCAGACACACGGCAGACTTGCGTCTGCGGAGAAATGCATGTGGATGCACAACGCGACGGCTTAGGGAGGCCCTTCCACGGCCGCTTCCCGCTGTGTCCTCGGTCAGGATTCTTGGTGGGGAGTAACAGATACTCCCCGCATTGGGAAACTACATGAGGAAAGACAGTTTGGCAGATGAGATCGGGCAGCCCACCGGAGCCACAGGAAGCCTGGGAGCCTTTCCTGGTGGGTGGGCGGGACCCCAAGGAAGCGGGCGCCCAGCCCAGGTACTCGCAGGGTGCTCCGGATGTGGGGTCTCTGGCCTTGAACCCTCTGCTGCGGGCCCCAAACCGTCGGTGCAGCTGCTAGTGATCCCCCCGAATTGGAGTCTTTTCTATCACTACATCCAGGTACAAAGTCCCAACAGACAGCTCTGCAGCGCCGGGCCGGGCTGAGCTGCCGTGGGGGGAGGGGAGGTCAACATGGCCCCTGTTTTGTAAACGGCGAGAGACGTATTCGATCTGAAGAGAAACCAGAGTGGGATCTGGCCACTGTTTTGCGTCAAGCTTCACGGAACCGCAGGCTTCAGGCGGTGCGAACAGGGCTGCACGGGGCTCGTGGGCTCCGCGCACCCCACGCGCGCGGGCGTCGCGCCGGCCCGTCCCGCCGCAGCCCCCGCAGCCCCGCCCCTCCGCCGCGCCGCCTGCGGATCCCGCGGGATCACGCCCCGAGTCCGGGAGAGCCGTGCCCTGATTGGCGGAGGCCCGCACGGTCTGGCCAATCACCTGGACGGAGGCGGTCTCCTCGCTGGGCTCGCGGGCGCCGCGCAGGCCACTGGCGGCGCGGGGGCGCGGGGGCGCGGGGGCGCGGGGGCGCGGGGGCGCGGGGGCGCGGGGGCGCGGGGGCGCGGGGGCGCGGGGGCGCGGGGGCGCGGGGGCGCGGGGGCGCGGGGGCGCGGGGGCGCGGGGGCGCGGGGGCGCGGGGGCGCGGGGGCGCGGGGGCGCGGGGGCGCGGGGGCGCGGGGGCGCGGGGGCGCGGGGGCGCGGGGGCGCGGGGGCGCGGGGGCGCGGGGGCGCGGGGGCGCGGGGCGGAAGGCGGGGTGGGGCGGGGGCGGCGGCGCGAAGCCCCCAGCGCGGCGGTTCGGAGCGGAGCTTCAGAGCCAGACTGTGGGGTCTGGAACCAGGCGTTGCCGCTTCGCAGCTGTGCCCTCTTGGTCCCGTTGCTCAGCCCCCTGGGGCCTCTGTTTGCGCATCTGGGGGGGGGGGTGCAGGGGCGCTCCTGATGCTGGAGTGCCCACTCCGTGGATGCGCGTCCACCCGTCTACATAAGTGCTTTATCCCCTCCTCTCCCCTCCCCTTGTTGATTAAGAACAGACCGAATGTGGGGCGCCTGGGTGGCTCAGCCGGTTGAGTCTGGCTCAGGTCATGGGCGCGAGCCCCGCGTGAGGTTCTGTGCTGACAGCTCAGAGTCCGCTTCAGTTTCTGTGTCTCCCTCTCTCTCAGGCCCTCCCGCACTCTCACTCTGTCTCTAAACATTAATTTAAAAAAACATTAAAAAACAACAACAATCAGACTGAACGTTGATGTTTCATGCGCACCCACAGCAAACATTCAGTAAGCACCCACTGTATGCCTGATGTGGTGAGCACAGCCCTGCAGGGGTGACGCCTGCTGCAGGGCAGCCCCTCCACTTTGGGAACAGCGCCGGTGTGGGCAGGATGACCCCACAGGATGGGCAGGAGCTGGCGCCCTCTAGTGCCAAGGACGTCTTGGGCAGAGGGAGCACCACAAGAGAATGCCCGCAGGACCAGACAGCGGGCCCCTCCCAGGAGATGGGACCCTGCAGGGCCTTGGCCAGATCTGGAGAGGGGACCATGAGCCTCCGTCCCAGGATCTCACCCTGAATTCCGGCTCCCCCTGCTGCCCTTTCTCAGAAAGGGAAAATCATGGCGCCCTGCGGTTCCATCCTCTCCCACGTTGATGACGGGCTCAGGGTAGATGCCTGGCTGCCTCCGTTTCTTTTGGCGGCCTGTCGGTGTAACAAAGTGCCCCCACACTTAGCGCCAACAGTATCCGAGGGTCAGGAAATGGCTTACTTGGGTGGTGGTCCTGGTTCAGGGTCTCTCATGAGGTTGTGGTCAAGCTGCGCTGAGCCAGTAGACTCTGACGGCTGGATCTGGCTCATGGCGCTGTTGGGAGGCCTCTGTTCCTCGCCAAGGTGGAGGAAGTGACCCAAGAGAGGGCTCCTCTCTCCCTTTCTTTAAGTTTATATGTAAGTAATCTCTACATCCAACAGGGGGGTCGAACTCATGACTTGAGATCAGTAGCCACATGCTCTTCCAACTGAGCCAGCCAGGCACCCTGGGCCCCATCTCTCTTTTTTTTTTAATGTTTATTTTTATTTTAATTTATTTCTAGGAGAGAGAGAGAGAGAGAGCGTGAGCAGGGGAGGGTCAGAGAGAGGGAGTCACAGACTGAAACAGGCTCCAGGCTCTGAGCTGGCAGTCAGCACAGAGCCCGACGCGGGGCTCGAACCCACGAACCGCGAGATCATGACCTAAGCGAAAGTCGGACGCTCAACCGACTAAGCCACCCAGGTGCCCCATGGGCCTCATATCTCTTATACCCTAATCTCAGAAGTGCCACGGCATTGCTTCTGCCCTGTTGGCCACACAGACCTCCCCAGGCTGGTGCAGTGTGGGAGGGGACCCAGGGACCTGGGCACCAGGGGCGGGCCATCAGGCCCACCACAGATGGCTGCTGTGGTGTGTCTGTGTCTGCCTCCTATGGGTTTGTTTTAGAAACTAATTAGCAGTTTTGTAATTTGTTTATTTACATATTTTTAAGGGTTTTCTTTTTTTGAGTAATCTCTCCCCGTAACATGCGTCTTGAACTCACGACCCCGAGACGAGTCACACGCTCCACTGACTGAGCCAGCCAGGCGCCCTCACCAGTTTTGTTATTAAGATGTCTCAAGTCCGGGGCGCCTGGGTGGCTTAGTCGGTTAAGCGTCCGACTTTCGCTTAGGTCATGATCTCGCGGTTCGTGGGTTCGGGCCCCGCGTCGGGCTCTGTGCTGACTGCCAGCTCAGAGCCTGGAGCCTGTTTCAGAGTCTGTGTCTCCCTCTCTCTCTGACCCTCCCCGGCTCACGCTGTCTCTCTCTCTCTCCTAGAAATAAATAAAACATTAAAAAAAAAAAAAAAAAAGATGTCTCAAGTCCACCCTCGCGTCCACTGAGGCAGGTTGAGGGCCACATCTGGAAAGCAGAATGTGGCTCCACTGCCAGGATTCTTCTGGAAACCCTTCTCAGAGACCTTCACTCCTATGGCCTCAACCTGTCCAGTATAGACAAATAATTCGCTTGGATACGTTTCAGATTTATTTTTCCTGAGAACATTAATTTGCTGAAAGCAAATCCCTGTTTGTGATTCTCTCAGATCTTGCTCGTGTTGGTGATTTAGGCGAAAGGACAATCCAAACTGTCCCTGCAGCCTCGTCAGGCCCGAGGAGAGGTCAGCACCCCTCCCCCCGCCCAGACCCGAGACTACCTGCACCCCCGGGGAGGCCAGGGGCCAGGCGCTGCTGCTGGCAGGGCACCCTGGACGATGGGTGTCCACCATTATGGACAAATGAGCCAGCTGCTAAGGACAGCGCCAGCTCCGATGACACTGCACAGGGAGTGGCCCGGAGCCAAACTAAGGAGCATCCGGGAGAGAGGAACGGGGCCTTCAGCGCTGGGGACCCATTACATCAGCCATCCAGGGTCAGGAGATAATTTGTCAGCTCTCTGCCCCACGTGGCCCCTGTGGAAATCAAACAAGCAGACTTGCCCATTTTTAGAGATAAATTAAATGCATCAATATAAAAAAGTCAGACAGCAACGCAGAGGGGAGAGCGTGGGGAGGTGGACAGAGCTGTGATTTATCGGCCCTTTAATAAGTGTTTCTGGGGCTGCCCTGGCGGCCTCCCGCCAACCGCACGGTGACCGTGAGCCCCTCCGCTGAGGCCATGAGCGGAGCTACCACCCCAACTTGCCAACCGCCCGCCCGGAGAGGCAGATCTCCTAGCCGGTGTCCCGGGAGCACCAAATACAAACTGCATTGGGAAAACGATGGAGAAGGAGTGAGGGGCTGGCGGGCGGGGGAAGGTCTCACCAGCTACCCTGGCGCCGCTTCCTGTGCGGCCACAGTGCGGCTGGACGCCCCTCGGAGCTACGCCTGGGTTTCACCAGCCCAGGAGCCTGGAGGGTCCTCACTGGCTCTGCTTCCTCGGTATGAACCTGCCCCCTGCCCCCAGGGCCAGCCCCCACCCTCCAACCACAGATGCCTTTCCCCTGCACCCCCAACACCAGCCACGGCCACCCTGTAACGTGTACCAATCCGGTAGGTGAGGAATGACCCATCCTGATTGCTTGAACGTGCGTGTCTGATTTTGGGGGCCTGGGGCACTTTTTCATTTTGTCCGGGGTGGCCGTGGGATGTCTGTTTATAGTCATTGCCTATTTTTATTGAAGTGCTGCTGGTCTTCTCTGCTGATTAACAAAGCCCCTCTGACGTGTTGAGAATGTTACCCACAGTGGCCCAATTTGTTGCTGCGCCCTGGTTCTGGGGTGGGGCTGGGGGAAGGGTTGACCTTGATCTGAAAGGTCGCCTACAGATTTATATTCACTACTTCATTGTCAACCAGTACTTAGGGAGGGCCTCATGGGAAGTGTGAAGGACACAGCTGGAAACACAGAGAGCAGAAAGTACTCACATCCTAGGAACGGGAAACAGTCTTAAAAACAAGGAAACTGCAGAATGTCAGAGGGGGTGTGAGCTACGGAGAAAACGCTGGGAGGGGGTTGCAAGTTTACGGAGGGGCTAGAGGTGGCCCCTCTGAGAAGACAACATGTGAGCAAAGATTTGAAGGAGGACATGGGGCACCTAGATGGAAGGGAAAAGAGAGGTCCCCAGAGGCATGGATGGTGCAAAGGCCCTGGGGTGAGCGTGGGACTGGGTGTACTCAGTGTACTGAGTGGGCTCTGAGGACTCTGACTTCTCAACTGAGCAGGTGTCAATTGTGCAGCAATGCAGTTTGGGCAGCTGAGCAGGATTCTCAGTTTGGGTAGAAAGCACCGAGGCTGGGAGCGAGTGGCTTACAGAGGCTTGCTTCCCCGGCCCTCCACCCCTGCCAGGACCTGGGGTTTCTGAGGCACATCCAGGCAGCCCTTGGGGAAGAGAGGCTTTGGGCGTGTAGGACAATGCCCCCCCCCCCCCCGCCCGGACTCTCTGCAACAGAGAGGAGGGGGGAGAGGACATGGCGTGGCTTCCATTGTGCACAGGGGCGAGGTGTCACCCATTCCCGTCTCCAAAGGGCTCCTGGTTGGAGGGGGGACAGCCCCTGCTTGGCCCTGTCACTCAGCCCATTCCCCTTCTTGCAGGCCTGGGGCTGCCGGGGCCTCACCCTCACTCTCCATCGTCTGGGGCCGGGTCACATACGGTGGTGGCGGTGGTGGGTGTACGTGCTGAAGCTGCGAGTCCCTGCGGCCTTTGCATCGACCCCGCCGCGGGAACCCGGGCAGGCCCGAGGCGGGAGCTGGCCGGCCGCCGACGGGGTCGGGGACCCGAGCGCTTGGCCGCGTGGGCACCGGACTGCCGGAGAGAAGGGGTAAGGTCCTGTGCTGGAGATCCTGGGTCCCCGGGGAGAGGCTGTCTCCGCGGAAGGGGTGGGGTTCGTAGCCGCTCAGGGTTTTGTTAGTTATTCCCCAAGGCAGAGCTGACTTAACGGAAATTCTCCCGAAGCCTCTTCTCGCCGCTCGGCTGCGGAGCTGGAGCAGGGGAGGGAGGGAGGAGAGCCGGGAGGAGGGGGAGGCCGGCCCGCCCTGGGGGCGGGGGGCGCACCTGCAGGCCGTCGTCTCCCGCGCCCGCCCGGGGGAGGGGCGACAGGGCCCCCCCGCTGCGGCCTCGCGGGCCCAGCGCCGCCTTTGTCTTCGGATGAAGGGCCCCTCCCGCGCCGCAGAACGCGCAGCCAGATGTCGCCCTCCGCTCTCCGAGGGGCCGGCTCGTAAATTCTGAGTCTCTCTTTTGTACGAAGCGCTGGTCGTCCTACAGTAATGACCTTTCCGGGGCGGAACAGCGCCTCCTCCTCCCGGTCCTGCTTGGAGGGCTCGGGCGGCCGGGCCGAGGAGGGGCGGGCGAGCACTGACCCCGGGGCAGGCTGGGGGGAGGGGAGAGGGGCCGCGCACCTGCCGGCGCCCCGGTTCGGGCCCCGTCCGGAGGCAGGAGCGCGGCCACACCTCCAGCGCAGTGCAGGGTCCCGCCGGGCGCCGGAACCCCGAGGTCCCCGGGGACCGAGGGTCGGACGAGGGCGGGCCCCCAGAGGCAGGGGCGGGGCCGCACGTAGAGCCCATTGCGCACGCGCCCTCTGCCCCGCCCACCCCACTCCCATTGGGCATTGGGCCGCCGCCCCGCGTGATTGGTCCGGGCTGTCGTGCTCTCGGCCAATGGGCGCGCGGCCCCTGGCGAGCCGGGCGGCGGGGCGAGGCCGGCCGCGGAGGCGCGGTTGCAGGGGCCCCGGGGCCTCTCCTCGGACGCTCGGCGGCCGCCCTTCTGTGCGGGGCGTGAGGCCGCGGGGGAGCCTGCGGTCCCAGTAGCGGAGCTGCGCACAGCCCCGCAGTCCGCCCAGCGAGAGGCCTCCGCCCACGGCGGCCGCGGGCTGCGCTGGGCGCCCCACGCCGGGGGTCGTGGGCGCCCCCGCTACGGGTGCTTACCCCCGTGCCCGGCCCGCCCGCCCCAGAAACAGGCCTTAGAAAGCAAACAAGCCCACCCTTGTAAAAGTATCACCAAAAATGAGCGGTGGTCAGGCCGGAGGTAAAGACGAAATGTTTTCTTCTCTGTAGTTTATAAATGATCTTCAGTGGATTTATAATTTGCAATGAAAATATTCCTTTTTAGAAGTTAATGCTGGGGGCGCCTGGGTGGCTCAGGCGGTTAAGCGTCCGACTTCGGCTCAGGTCATGATCTCAGGGTTTGTGGGTTCGAGCCCCGCGTCGGGCTCCGTGCTGACAGCTCAGAGCCTGGAGCTGCTTCGGCTTCTGTGTCCCCCTCTCTCTCTGCCCCTTCCCCACTCGCTCTCTGTCTCTCAAAAATAAATAAATGTTAAAAAAATTTTTTAAAAACGAATTACCTCCCACTCTTATCTGTATGCCCAAAGGGACTGAAAATAGCAGATCCCACAAGTTCTTGTATTCTGATGTTTATTGTACCATTAGTCACGACAGGAAAAGGTGGACCCAACCCACTGTCCATCAGCAGATGAATGGATAAACAAAACATGGTCTCTCAGCGCAGTGGAATATTATTCAGCCATAAAAAGCCATTCTGACTCTGGTGAGTCTTGAGGACATTATACTAAGTGACATGAATCAGACAGGAAAAGACAAATATATGATTCCACTTACGTGAAGCATTTCGTATAGACAAACTTTAGAGATCGAAAGTAGATTAGCAGTTGCCGGGGGCTGGGAGAGGGTGGACTATGGAGTCATTGCTTAATGAGTACAAAGTGTCTGTTTGGGATGATGAAAAAGTCCTGGAAACTAGTGGAGAGGGTTGCACAACACTGTGAATGTACTTTAATGCCACTGAACTGTACACTTAAGAGTGATTTGAAAATGGCAAATTTCATGTTCTATTTTACCACAATCTTAATTTTTTAAAAATGTTTTATTTATTTCTGAGGGAGAAAGAGAGACAGAGTGAGCAGGGGAGGGGCAGAGAGAGAGGGAGACACAGAATCTGAAATAGGCTCCAGGCTCTGAGCCGTCAGCACAGAGCCCGACGCGGGGCTCGTACCCACGAACCGCGAGATCACAACCTGAGACGAAGTCGGATGCTTAACCGACTGAGCCACCCAAGCGCCCCATATTTTACCACAATCTTAAAAAGTAATGATGTGGGGCACCTGGGGGACTCAGTCGGTTGACTGTCCCACTTTGGCTCAGGTCATGATCTCAGGTTCATGGATTCCAGCTCCACATCGAGCTCACTGCTGTCAGCCTATCAGCGCAGAGCCTGCTTCAGATCCTCTGTTCCCCTCTCTCTGCTCCTCCCCTGCTTGCACTCTCCCCACAATAAATACATAATATAAAAAGTAATGATGTAATTAATGTACTAAAACCATGGGATTGTACACTTCAAACAGGTAAATTATGGTTTGTGAATTACAGCTCAGCGAAGCTGTGGAAATCTTGAAAGCAGCAATATTGGAAACAGTGTATACCATCTCTGCTCCGAAAGTGCCCTTGACCTGGGTGAGGCAGGATTTGGGTTCAGACGGAGGCGTGGCGTCCGCTGGGTGGGCTGCGAACAGGCCTCTCCGGGGAGCACACACACCAGAGGCTGTGTCCACTACAGAGACAAGGCCCCCGAAGCACACAACCGCACCGGACGGGGATAAAACTAGACCCAGCTCCTCCCTCCTCCCCCCACTCCTCCTCAGCTCCGGCCCCTCGGGGATCGGGATCGAGGCAGAAACAGGGTACGGTGCTCCCCAGAGGTGCCTTGCCTTTTACTCTCATAGGGCAGCCTCCTTTTTGGCTCCTAAGTTACCTCCCTTCCCATCAGGAACACGGGCGCGGGGAGGGGCGGGGGCGCCGTCCACTGGGTGCAGAAGGGTCGCCGGTGTGGTGGTCGGGGCCGGGGGTGGGGGTGGGGGTGGTGAGGAAGATGCTAGAAAACGATCAGCTTCCCCTCCCCACCCGCGCGTCCTGCACGTCGGCCGCCTTCCGGGCCGCGGCCGCTGGGGGGCGCCCACGGACCGCTGCTGCCGCCCGCCCGGAGGGCCCTTGGCGGCGCGGGAGGTTCATCTCCTGTTCAGGCCAGAACGCTGGGCGGAGGGCAGGAGCGGGAGGCCCCCAGAAGTCTTTAGACCTGGTCCCCAGACCCGCCAGGCGGCCACTTCCCGCCCCAAGGCTGCGCCGCAGCTGGCGAGGTAGCGGCGAAAATGCAGCAAAGACTTGGTGGGCGGAGTAACCGCCTAGCGTGCCTTCCAGGGCCATGTGCCTCCCTGCTGACTGCTCGGTGCTCAGCTCCTCTGCAGGCAACCCTGGACTCACCCCGCCCTTGTGAAGCGGTGGCCGCGACGCCCTCCTGCACACTCACTTCCTTTAAGACACACTACTAGATGGCCAAGACCCGTCATCCCTCTAGGGTTTCTCTGGCCCATCCCCAACCCCTGTGTGCCTCAAAACTCTACCCTAGGAAGAGCTGGGGTATCCTCAGCAGGTGACCTGTGATGTGAGCAGGAACCAAGAGAGTGACTGTCCCCGTCTCCTTGCACCTCCATGCCTTTCCCCCACCTGGCAGAGCCTCTGACTGCAGCAGCTGGGCCTGGAACTCAGGCTGTCTCCCGGGGGCCTGGCTGGGAAGGGGGCGGCATCCACACGGATGCCCGCTTGCCATGGGCTGTGGCGGCTGCAGAGGTCTCCTCTTCATCTTCCAGGGAATCAGCCCAGGCTCGTTCCGGAAGTGGGACCCTGAGCCAACCCCTTAACCCCAGAGCCCGTTCCCAGCCTCTGCCCCGTGGCTCCTGCGAGCCAGCAGATGAAGGTCTCTGGCTAATCACTCTGTCCTCCATGGGAGTTTACCAGTAGGACCCCGTCTGCCTCAAGTGGCCCAGTCACAGTCACTTGACATCAAGGGACAGACATGGTCTGGCTCTTCAAGGTGACAGTGAGAGCATCGCTGCCATGGCCTGTGACGAGCAGAAGCCCTTTGGCAAGTACCTGGGGGGAGGGGCAGCTGACTCACTGGGACCCTGCCTTCATCCCCAGTAGCCCTGGGATAAGCAGACAGCCCCAGGCTCTGGGGAAGCAAGTTTGAGGAGGGGGCGGCCCTGCTGCCCTCACTGGAGTTGGGGGGACCGGGCGCAGCCTGGGCAGGGGAGCGCTCCAGCAGCTGCATGGGCTCTGACGCAGTGGCCAGCCCTGGGTCAGCCGGGTCACAGAGCAGCCAGCCCCTAAATCATTCTGGGCCCGGCCTACCCGAGGGGGAGGCTTCCGCTCCAGGTGGGTGACTGGGGGCCCTAGCTATCACCCCCACAGTCTGTTTCCTCTTTCCTGCGCTGGCTCCCTAGGCCTCCTGGGGCAGTCTGCTCTTAGGTGGAGCCTCCCAGCTTCCGGAGGCCTCCGTGGGAGAGCAACAAAATACCTCTGAAAGGAGCCTGCGATGTTGGGAAGTTCTGGTGCCCCGCAAGTTTGTAGGACAGGCAGCCGAGAAGCCCAGAGTGCCTGCATTTAGGTGGAGAAGTGGCTCTCACTCAGCATGGTGGGGGCGGGGCGGGGGCAGGCACCACTCACCACTGGCGGTCTCCTCCACGTCACCCCGGTGACTCGCCCCAGCACCCCTGGGCTGGCTTTCCCTTCCCTCCCCGGGGTCAGCACAGAGGGTCCTTGCCCCCGAAACAGCAGGGGAAGGGGGGCATCCCACTCCTACGTTCACCCTGAACTCTCACCAAGGAGACGCCCCAAGCCGGGCGAGCTGTCCCCTTCCCTCTGCTTTCCTTCTTCCTGTGTGCGATGCGCCCAGCCACCCGGATGGGGCCTGTTTAATTGATTCAATTTGTCCAACAGTAAAAACACTCTGCAGATGTCAGCCTCCCAGCACCCCACGCCCAGGGAGGCAGCAGACACCTGCCAAGGCCCTGGGGCTGGGAGTCCTTCCAGGGGCCACTACAGCCAGACTGCGGGGGAGGCCCTGGCTCCCATGCTGCTAGTTGGGAGCCGGAGCCAAAGAGCCACCTATGGCTGAGGGACTGTTCCGACCACGGGCGGAGAGGCATTCTGAATGCTGATCAGATTAGAATCTTTTTCAGGGAATTACGGTTTTTACGGACTCCGGACTCCGGGTTCTAGACAGATGGCTGCTGTTTCGGTCAAGGCGCTATTCCTGGGCCAGTGTTAGGGCTCCATCTTCTCCATCCCCTTAGGGCTTGGGGGTTCTTCCAGGTCAGTGTGGGATGGGAGGGGGTGCTGAGGATTCCCTGGGGCCTGACAGCTCCCCCCCCAACTCCCACGGCTTGGTGGTCTCCTTGGTTGCCACCTGGTGGGAGAAAAGGAGCTGAGCCTCTGAGCTCCCAGCTTGTTGGGGACTCCAGGCCCCTGTGTAGACAGGGTAGCCTGGCATCTCAGGTCCCCGCAGAGCTGCAGCGCCCTGTGTACCTGTGGGGATGTGTTTGCAGCCACTGCCTCACTAGGAAATGCTTTCTGGCCTTTCTGGGGGGAAGGTGGTGGGCTACGAGGGAGGCTCGGACCCGAACCCCTCTCTCCGTGAGGGCCCCTGGCTCCTGAGCCCCCACTTTCTACAGCAGAGGGAGACCACTGGAGTGAAGAGCAGGGATGATTTAGGGAGAGTTGGCACAGCTGGCCAGGCGGTGGCAGGGGCTTCTTTCTGCCCCATCCCCCACTCAGCCCCATCTGGGACAAGAACCCTCAACCATGATTGGGAAGAGCTTGTCACCCTGAATAGGGTCACGGGTTAGCCAAATCCGGACATCCAGTCTCCCCTCTCCCACGTGCACCTTCTCAGGGAAAATCGGAGACTTTCTATCAGTCACTTGTTACATTTAACATGATCCCAAGCTCATTTTTTTTTTTTTATGGGCTCTTCTCCACAATTTCTAGGAGACAGGGAGAAAGCAAGGGTAAGGGAACCGAGCAACCGAGAACGGAAAGGGCTTGTCCAAGGTCAGACCCTGCACAGGCACGTATCAGGCGGTTGCTTCTTTCTCCTGCGCGTGAACAAGCTGGGGGGCTGGGGGAGGCCAGGCCCCCTGAACGGCCATTTTGGAAGGACGTCGGGCGGCGGCCTGCAGCCCCCCACGGGCTCCCCTGCGGCCCCAGCCCGGGCTCCGGGTAGGGGGACCCGGGCGACGGGGCCCGGGAGGCGGGGCCGGCGGCGCCGAGGAGGAAAGAACAAAAGGGAGCCCCGCCCCCTCCCCGGCCGGCTCGCGGCGACCAATCGTCGCGGCCGCTGCTGACGGCGCCCTCTGATTGGCTGCACGACGACCAATCCGACGCCGGATCCGCGAGCCCGTGCGGCCCCACGTGGGGCGGCGCGCGCGGCGCTTCGCGGGCCCCAGCGGGCGGGGCGTGTGGCTCGGGGCCGCGCCCGGAGGACGCGACGGTGGCCGCGCCCGCGCTTCGGCTCTGGGACCCCCGCCCCAAGGTTCCCCGAGCGCCCCCGCCGTCGCCGAGGCCGCCGAGTGCCCGGGGTGCGCTAAGTGCTGTGCCGTCTTCTGGGTGATTTGCCGTGCGGACCGGGGTGGTGGTGCCCTCGTTGCACACGCAGAGGTGAAGGGACAGCCTCGGAGCCCCCCAGCCTGTTAGGGAGGAGGCCGCCGAGGACACTGTTTCTTGATCCCGCTGCTTGGCCGCGGGGCACCCCTTCCCCTGGGGGCCTGGGCGCAGCGCTCTCTGCCCACCCCAGCGATGTACCCGCGAGGACTGCGCTCACGGTGTCAAGGGGGCCGGGGAGGCCGGAGCAGGTGGAGCGGAAGCAAGAGGAAGGTCGCGGCGGTCCGCTGTTGGGTAGTGGAGGGGCCTGGTGGCCTCGGTTCATTCGCTGACTGAGTCAGCTGTTGATGCCTTCTACTGTAATGTCCTGGGGTTACAAACGGCAGTGGCCCCAGCGGGGGCTTGGGGACTAGCCTCCCCCTGGTTTCCATTAGCTACTACACCAAAAGGAACATACGAGAATGTTCTTTGATAGGAGTAATTGACATGGTCTTACATTTTCATAGCACCCTCGGACGGGGTATTTGAGCTGAGGGTTGAATACACGGAAATCCCATGAATTAAAGGAGAGATGGATCGTGCAGTACCCAGGACCAGCCACAAAGGGGGGCTCTTACCCTCCACACCTGAAGGGCAGCCGTAGTCCTGGGAGAGGGTAGCCCGCAGGCGCCGTGACCTTGGGGAGAGGGACGCGCCGACCTGACACCAAGGAGAATGAATATGTATACTGACCTCGCTTTCCTCCCACTCGCTTTTCGTGTCTGCGGGCTCCTCACTGGCTAAATCCAGCCCAAGCAGGAGAAAGGGAGTCCCCACCACACGTGCCCACCACACAGCCTCTGGCTACCGCGCGGGACAGGGGGTTGGTGAGGCGTCCAGCGTCTGTTCTGAAATGTGAATAAAGTCATCTTAGAAATGTTGCTCTTTTGTTTTATGGGCAGTGGCATACAATGTAAGGGAAACCCATATGCAGCATATGCGGAGGTCGCCTCCAAATGGGTGAGGCAGAGCCCCGCCGAGCCCTCCCTCCTGCGGAGCCCTTTGTAGCCCCCCCTGCAAAGGCTTCATGCAAATGATGAGTGGAACACAAGGCAGGGAAGTGCGTGAAATGTGCTCCTGTCAGTGCCTATGGGCAATGAAGTTCAGGTGCCTCCCCCTCCAGGAAGCCTTACCCGGTTGCTCATTTTCATTAACAGTTGCCATGGAGAATCCCATGGATTTAGTGGAACTGGCCTTGTTCAGTGTCCTCTCTTCATGGGGCCCGTGTCTGTTGGCTGCTCGTGCACACGGGAGAATGAGTGGACTGTGCCCTTTGCCTGGGTGAGGCCAAAGGCAGTTCTTCCCTCTGAGGCGGGGGCATTTACACAAGAAACCTTTTCAGGGGCCTTTCTCTGCCCAGCCAGGGCTCAGCCTCCAGGGGCCCCAGGGAGAAAAGGATGTATTCCAGGAGCGAAGTCCATGGTCCAGCGGTACAGCCACATGTGTTTAGGGTGAGGCAGCCTGAGCCAACAAGGAGAGGTTCCGGAGAGAGAGGTCCCCTGCAGACTGGGGACAAGGGAAACAGGTGGTGGCACTTGAGATGGCTCTGAAGGACAGACAGGCAGGGGTGGGAGCAGTGGACAAGGTGAAGCCAGGGACAAAGGTGAAGCCAGAGGTGAAATCACGTGGCATCTGGGGGCCCGGGCTTTACATTCCTATGAATGGAGCCGCCCTGCCTGCCCTCTGAGGCTGGCCTCGCGCTCAGCGTAAGCCCTGAGTCTGTCTGGGGCTCATTCTGTCGCACCGCTGTGCTCTCTTTTGTTGTACGGGCATGTCGCGGCTTATTCTCCCCGTCTCCTGCTAACACACATGTGGGCTGTCCCCAAAGTTTAGAAACAGTGCTGCTATGGACATTCTAGTGCATTCTTCTGGGTTTGTGCCTGGCAGCGGGGTTGCTGGGGAGGCAAATGTTCAGCTTTAATAGATGCCACCGTCCTTCAGGTGGGCGCCCTGACCGCCATTCCCACCCGCAGTGTGGGAAGGTCCTGGGGGTTCTGTCCCCGCGCCAGCCCTTGGGATTATTCGTCCTTTACTCTTTGTCACCTGGGGGCTGGGGGGACACACTCCATCTCTTGATCGTCTTCATGCCTCTGCGAACAGGATGCTTACGTGAGGCGAGGGGTCGTGCCGTGTCCCCATTCATAGGACGGAAGCCCTGGGAGGTGAAGCCACGGCTGGCAGTGAGCACTGGAGCCGTTTCTGGAAGCCCAGCCTCCAGCTTTCAGAAAATGGAATGCGGCTGGGGTGGCTCCCTGGACGGCCCCGGAGCCTGGAGCTCCAGTGCAGGGTCAGGACAGGTGCAGAAGCACTGGGCTGGGGAGGGGACTCTGGGCCTTGGGGGAGGGCGGGCAGTGGCCGGGGCTGTGGGAGCCACTGAGGGGTGGGGTGGGGGCGGTGGCGTCAGCAGGGCCAGCACCCACCTGGTGGGGCTTTGCCGGGTGCAGGATTGCGCCCAGACCCCGAGCTGGGTGCCGGGCCATGTGGGGAAGGCACGGGGGCGGGGCTCCTGCCCTCACGTTAATGGCAGCCCAGGGCAGCCGTGCAAAATCAAGGAAACCCACAATAAATACCTAATTACAGGCTGTGATAAGCGCCCTGTGCCGAGAGAGGGCTGACCTGGCCTCAGAGATCACAGTGTCCTGGGCACTATCGAAGGCGGTGTCCCCGCAGCATGGGGCTGAGGGAGGGGCTGGGAGGAAGGGGCGCTGGAGGTGGGGGTCCCCGGCTCGGATGGGCCGCAGCCACGGAGAAATCCCAAGCGCCTGGAGGTGGACTCAACCATACGCGAGCTCTCCGCAGAAACTCCAAAATAACAGCGACTTAAACGCGGGAGGCCTTTCTTTTTCTTTCACATAAAGGCTCCAGGAAAACCGGAGTCATCAGGAACCCAGGCTCCTTTTTTTAATATTAAAACATTTTTATTTTTTTTTTTTTTTTTTTTACAAATAGTTTATTGTCAAATTAGTTTCTACATAACACTCAGTGCTCATCCCCAAAGTGCATATTAAAACATTTTTAATGTTTATTCATTTTTGAGAGAGAGACAGAACATGAGCGGGGGAGGGGCAGAGAGAGAGGGAGACGCAGAATCTGAAACAGGCTCCAGGCTCTGAGCTGTCAGCACAGAGCCCGACGCGGGGCTCGAACCCACGAACTGTGAGATCATGACCTAAGCTGAGGTCAGAGGCTCAACTGACTGAGCCTCCCAGGTGCCCCAAGAACCCAGGCTCCTTCTGCCGCTTGGCTCTGTCATCCTCGGCTGTGGACTCCACCTCAGGATGCAGGGAAGCCACTCCAGCCATCGGTGTACATTACAACCAGCAGGAAGGGACAAGGGCAAAGAGGCGCACAGCCCTCGTACTGAAGGACCCTTCCCACTGCACGTGACACTGCTGCTCACCCTCACTGGCAACAGCTCAGTCCCGGTGCTGCATCTAGCTGCAAGGGAAGCTGAGCAATGTGCTCCGGACCCTGGACACCAGGGCAGCACAGTGTCTGCCCCTCCCCGTAACTGGAAAGGAGGGGATGCTGCTGAAGGCCAGAGATGACCAGTGGGTCGGATCCTGGTCCTCCCTGCACATGATCCGTCCCTCAGCACCCGGGGGCAGAGGCCGTGGGCCCACGGGGCACGCTGGGGCCTCCACCGACGGGCTGTCCTGCTGGCATCTCACTTCAGCTCATTCCTACAGATGAGGAAATGAAGTCTCGGGGGAGCAAGTGGCCTGTCCAAGGGCCCACAGCTGACAGGCCAAGAGAAGCAGGTCCTGCTGAGAATTTTCCAGAACTTTTATCCATCAGGGGTGGAGTGGTTCAAGACCACGAGGCCCCCATCACTCCCTCACCCAAGATGCTCCTTCTCTCCTGGTCTCTTGTTGACTGAGGCTGTCGCTGCCTCCTCTTTAAGCAGGACACAGGAGTGACCAGAAACCCCGTCTTCCCAGAGCACGGGAGGCAAGGCAGGGACAGTGACAGGTGGCCAACCTCTGGGTGACCAGTGTGCCCTCAGCACTGGATGGGAGCCCAGATGGAGAGGAGAGGACCTGGGAGCTGCCCCTCTCAGTACCGGGTTCTCCTCCCCTGCCCCCCCCCCCGCAGCGGACCAGCTCCCGCTTGGGCCCCAGGGCAGCATCCTCCGGGGCCAGAACTGGGTCTCAGATCTGAGTCACCGATGCTGACTCCCTGCCGTATTCTGTCTTTACATTCACCTTAGAACTTACAGAGGGGCACACGCTTATAAAAATAAAAGCAGACATTTCCAAGGTGCATAAGCTCAAAAGGCAAATTCTGCTCCCTGGGTGTGCTGATGCCTCGGCTGTTGGACCTGGAGCTGAGAGCTGACTTGGGGTGGAGGTTGCCAGACCGTGTCTATACCCGCGTGAGTGCCGCACACACGCACACGCACGCCCTGTGGGCCGCCTGCCGGCGGCAGCGCTGACTGTGGTCGGACGGCAGCAGATGGGCACCTGCGTGCTTCCAGTTTCCCGTGGGAGGTCCCGGCGCGGCGGTACTTGTGCAGCGGCTTTGCGGGGGTGGGTGCCCAGAAACTCACCGCCCTCTCTCCCTCATCAGGCCTCCCCCCGCCCCCCCCCCCCGCCCCCCCAGCGCTGGCGGGACCGGAGGGTGGGGGTGGGGGAGGGGCGCAGCGGCTGGGAGGCGGGCCTCTGGCTGCTCTGGGGCCCAAGCCCCTGCCGTCCCCCTTTACAACCGGTGGCCTCCCGACGCCTCGAGGGGCTCAGCTGGCGCAGCGCTGGCCTCTGGGGCTCTTGTTCCTTGGCTTTGCTTCTCTCTGCACCCGGCCTCCTTCTCTTCCGGTTTCTCTGCACGGCAGGGGGACGGGGCATGACCCAGACAGGGCCCGGCCACCTGTCCCAGCCCGGTTACCCAGTAGGAACGCAGGGTTCTCTCTCCACGACCCGGAAAGGGCTCCCTCCCTGGGCCAGGGCTCAGCGCACCGTGACTCCCAGGTCTGGGTCCCGAGCTGCCCCCTGCGTTAGGGGTGGGTGGCGGCTCTACAGATCCGGTGAGGGGACAAGTCCCGCAGGAGGCGGGGGCATGTGCTATGGGCAGAAGTGGCCAGGAGGCCCACGCTCTGCCCCGTGGAAGCCACGCATGGTCCCTCCACTCACACCCGCCCCTCCGGGGGCCCTGCCTGGCACAGTGTACTTCCTTCCCAACGGAGGTTGACATGGACCACTTGACTGTGACAGTGGGAGGCGACTGGGACCGCGGTCCCCTGGGGCATGTCCACCTCCCTGAGTTCTGGTCAGGCTGTGCCCAGTGTCTGCAGCCTCGAGAAGATGCCAGCACTACCCGCAGCCAGTCCGATACTGCTCAGCAGGGGGAAGGAAGAGGAAAGGAGGGGTGAATAAAAAGCGTTCAGCTCCAGACAAGTCGGGATGATGTCCTTTCTTCTCCCCACGGGGTCACAAGCCACTGTTGGTGTTTGTGACCCCGCTGCCGCTGACCTTCCACGTTGCCCTCACTCAGCCAGGGCCTCGGATGGGCGGGTCTCCCTGCTGGGCTGACCCGACCTTTACTGCTGAGGGGGTCGGGGCCCCTGTGCTTCTTGCCATCCTAGGGTTGCAAAGGTCCCCCACTGGCGCATCAGCACGCCACAGGGGGGTGTTCCTGAGGTCCCCAGCCCCACCCATGTCCCTGCCTGCTGCAGGCCAGACTGGTAAGCCCGCACCCCCTTTCCCCATTCACTCGCTGTGGCCCCAGCTCCTACTTCCTGGGCTGGCAGTGTCCTGCCCTGGGTCACACGCTGCAGACGAGCCTGGCCATGAGTCAGGACGGAGGGCAGAGGCCTAAGGTCACTGGCGTGACCTAAGCAGCTCTGCCCACTCCTCCAGCTTCTGGGCCCGTGTCCTTCTGCCGGTCTACGGGCTGCACCCCCGTGGCTGCGCGTGGCCCAGGGGTGCTCATGTTCCTTGTGGTACCTGTGCTCAGAAATGAGCTCCTTGGATGCAGGGACTGGGTGGGATTTCCTGAGCACGTGTATGGGCTCACAAGGCCCACGACACAGCCAGATCCAGAGTAGCGCCTGTTCCCGGTGGGGACGCTCCACGACGGAAGGAGCGACCGGCGGCCACCCAGCTGCCTGGTCCTGTGAGGTGTTACAGTTAGGATTCGCAGGCTCTTGTTGCCGACCACTGGGTATTTGTCAGCAGGGGTCCAGGTCAGCCACCAGGAGGAGCGACTCGGGGGGGGGGGGTCCCGTGCACAGCCCTCCTGCCTGCCCACTGTGTTCTTAGCACGAGCCCACTAAGCAAGCCTGAGGCTGACTGGGGCAGGGAGCCGACAGGCAGCCCTGGGGCGGTGACCATTACAAGCTCTCTGCAGGGGGCCCCTGATGACGTTCGCACGAGCAGGCCGATGCCCAGCCCCTGGGCACAGGCCGCCGTGTCTGTCTGCTCTCCTCCTTCTTGAACCTCCCTGGGTCGTCTGTCACCTGCTCTTTCCAAGTCCCTCATGTCTGGCCACATGGCCAGACACTGCCCAGGACTCTGTGTAGACGTTGGGTTAGGACATCCAGGCCTCTGATCAAAGTTCTGCCCCTGGAAGGACAGTCCCGTAAGGCAGGGCTGTAACGGCACTGTGGTCCACTTGGGGCCGGGGGTGGCGCATGTGTAAACCCATGCTGCTTCCTCCTTAGTCAGCAGATCGGGGCTTCACAGAGGTCATGGGTTTGTGGCGGGAGCGGGCTCCAGGGGCCTCCGGTGCCTGAGGGTCTGCTCAGCCTCTTCTATGGGCACCCTTTCTGCTCCATGATGGACAACTGGGTGCACCTGCTTATGCTCAGGTGGGCTAGGGAGCACCCAGTTTGACAAACAGTTGGGTTTCAAGGTCAATCCACTGCCCCACAGTAGCAAATAAATATAAGATGTTGTATAAATTAAAATCTTAGATGAAGGGGGCCTGGCTGGCTCAGTTAGTAGAGCTTGTGACTTTTTTAAAAAAATGTCTTAAATATTTATTTTTGAGAGAGAGTGAGAGACAGAGTGTGGGCGGAGAAGGGTCAGAGAGAGAGAGTGGGGAATACAGGCCCCAAAGCAGGTTCCAGATCTAAGCTTCGGCACAGAGCTGGAAGCAGGGCTCGAACTCAAGGACCGCGAGATCATGACCTGAGCCAAAGTCAGATGCTTAATTGACTGAGCCCCCCAAGGGCCCCCAGAGCTTGTCACTCTTGATCTCCAGTTGCGAGCTTGAGCCCCACGCTGGAGGGTACAGTTTACATAAAAATTTTATTTTATTTTTTAAAAAACTTTTTAATAGCTTATTTATTTTTGAGAGAGAGAGAGGCAGAGCATGAGTGGGGGAGAGACAGAGAGAGAGGGAGACACAGAATCCGAAAGAGGCTCCAGGCTCTGAGCTGTCAGCACGGAGCCTGATGTGGGGCTCGAACCCACAAACCGTGAGATCTGACCTGAGCTGAAGTCGAAGGCTTAACCGACTGAGCCACCCAGGCGCCCTACATAAA